CAAAAAAGTATTCGAAATGTCAAGTATAATTTTGCCTATACGAAGCCTCAAGTGCATAAAACAATGCAGAAAAAAGCTTTGGCCGTCATTTATCAAATTATAGAATATTCTTAAAAACTTGTCGACTTGGATATTGTGAAAGGTTGTACCAGAAACAGATACGCATGTTTGACGAAGAAAATTGAAACTCTAGTTGAGTTCGCATACAATGGATTAGGATTAAAGTTCCTTCTATAGCTAAAGCTTGGGTAACTTTAAAATTCATCTTAGTTAACACAGCACATGTTCTACAATATACCTTCTGGTCACTTTCTTTTGAAGATCTCGTATCTCATGACTTACACTGTTCCATATTATGAGATAAACAATTACCCATACTATTTCAACTTTTCCCATACTTTTGAGAGAATAATATTAATTCGGAGTTACAGAGCAGAAATTAGAATTTATTGAAGGGAAGCAAAAAGGTGTCAATAATTAGGCGGATCGACTTACGCCCACGATTCATGGCATGCGAAAGCATTACTTTTCTATTGTAATGTTCCCATAGATTAATGAGAAACCTTCGCAAAAATAAATGTAAGTTAGACAGAGGATGACGCGCAAAAACGTGTGTGCTAGAAAAGGCGGAATCGACGAAGGCCCTTCGTTCGCCAGTATGGAGGTATTTGCTTACGTAATACTGCTGTTTTTTAATATGGAAGCCTTATTTTATAGCAGGAATGTGAAAAACATGATACTAACTCCTAAATCGTGTTTATTAATATGTTAGTTATACCTACAAGTTTTCGAAATCTCCTCATTAATAGAACAAACGCAATTTAGTGCTAATTTTACTCTTTACATGGAAATCCGGCGCCTTCATACTGTGTTGAATGGAAAAGCATCATGTGGGGTTTTTGAAATTCGAAATCTCGGAGTGGCGAAATATGATTAAGCATAAACTCTTTAGCATATAAAATATTTTGACTCTCATAGGACGAGTTCGTTTTGACGTCCTTCGTAACACACATTCTTAAATTTTTCTTATTTAGATCTTTCAAGGTCTTAAGATAATGGAAGGATTGGCTTAAATCTAGATTTGCTTCTTCTTCTTCTTCTTCTTGTGCTCTAATAAGAGCCACAAGACTTATTAGAGCAGGATTACGGTAATAAGTTATGAGATTTCGCGCTGCGTAAGGAACTATTAACATTATCCAAATCTATTTTTAAAAAAGCGAGGAATTGTTTCAATGGAGTTATTTGGGACATTTGATAACATAAGCTTTGCACCAAAGTCCTAGTAGGTACCTAACGGCAGCGGCATGGCTTGCACAATGTGTTATCGTAGTTACCAGAAGTAGAAGATCGGCTTACAAATTCGTTCTAGGTCTAATCTAACCCTTCAAAAGTATTTAAGGCTTAGAAAAGATATCGAAATTGAGTTAACGAAACAATGAACAGTTTTTTGAGCACCTCTTTATTTTAAGCGCTGTTTTGAAGTCGATGAAAGTAGGATAGGCGTCAATACTGCATGAGAAAAAC